AATCCTAAAGGGAAGTACGAGATGGAGATGGGATTGTGGCATGGCCATTACACATGACGAGTGATTTCTTGCTCTCTCTCTCTTTTTCCGTCTCTCTCTGACAAGCATACATACATGCTGGCAAAATTAAAAAAAAAAAAAAAAAGAAAAATGAGATTTTTCTCAAGGAAAGTTTCATTGCATCTTGCTCCCCTCCCATAGCGTGTGTGGCTCTCATAAGTCATCTGTTATAATCCCAAACTTCACATTAATTATCACTGGTCACACACAAGTAACTTAGTCAATATGCCTGAAGCAAAGGTAAGGCTAAGAAGATAATTATTGAAAGCATGCAATCCAACCTGATTCCCTACAGAAATAGTGTTGATTCCATTTTGAACACTAAGTTATGAATAGTGCATATAATTATAAATCGGAAGCCAGCAGGTGCTCACTTTGAACCAATTACAGCAAATCGACCAAATTTGTTCTTTTATTCTTATACAAAATAATATTATTTGACTGATAGCTCTTGAGACTGTGACTACTCAAAGTAACTCTGCCAAGAGGATAAACAGCTTTGACAGGTCTATTTAATTGCAATGGTTGTGGGTAGGAATTTCGAGAAGACGTTTATGTAGCTGTGAGACAAATGTGAGACAAACTACGTAAATTCTCAGCTCATGGTTAAAGAATCAAGACCCACCTGGATGATCTCTAGGATCACATCTCAGGGCTTTTTCCTTGAACCTGTTCTATTCAATACGTTCGTCCATTTCCGGGCAAAAGGAGAGAGCTAACGGAGAGAGCTAAAATACTAAAAGCAAGGTTGGTGGGGAGAGTTTTCAAATAATTTCTATTTTTTTGAATAATAGGCCCAAATCAATGATATATGCTAATGATTACCCAGACTTGAAAGGTATATGCAACCTTCAGAATAATGATTCTATCCTACACCTCCTGAGTGGGGGGTACATACTATCAGCAATAAGGAATCCACTACTCTGGGGAAGCCAAGATTTGAGTGACAGCTCCAATTAAAAATAAAAAGTGCCCATTTAGATCTATTGTAAAAAGTAAATTAATAAAATGAAATCCTAGACTCTGAAGCTCAGAGTGGACTTTACATGTTAAAGGTACACAGGATAGCTAAAATCTAGTTGTTAGCAGTTTTTCATTTAAATGACCAAAATCATCTAAGTCAACTGCTAAAAGACTTGACATTATTTTTGCATATGTTCAAAGAAGTTCATGAACAGGATCTCTTCCCTCAATTTGTGGTATGAAAACTTGAAGAGACACAGTGAGAAGTCGTCATGTATCTAGAAAGACATGGCTGAGAGGATTGGGGGGCTCTGATTTGGAGAAATAAAGATGTCGGTGGTTCGTGACAGTGTTGAGAGGAACACTAGGCCCAGAAGAGAAAATTACAGTGTGATCATTAGAGCCACTCATCCAAGCAGATGGTTCTAAGGCTAACCAGCCCTGTAAGAGAAAATGCAGTACTGTCAGAGACAAGGATTCTGCCCTCGAATTTCACCCTATTGTCTTGCAGAAGAATAAGCTGTCACTCGAAGAGTTTAAGGAGAGGTAGGAAAGGTACTTGTGTGGGAACCATACTTAACCAGGAGTCAGACTTGTACAAAGGAGATAATAACCACAGCAACTACCAGGTTGTTGTTGTGAGGACCGAGTAAAATGCGTGCAAGTGTGCAGAAAACTGAGAACGATGGCTCGCTCTCTGTGAGAGATGACACAGAAGGGATAGTCCTACTTAGGAAGCATGCAAGACTCTGTGACATATAAAGTCCATTCTGAACCTCGGAGTCTAGGATTTCCTCTTAGTAACAAGCCAAGCTAATTAATTCTGCTTCAGCATTCAAGGTTTGTATTGCTTTAAATTATAATGCATGAATGATGTCTCCTTTACTCTCTAGTATAGGCTAAATCTGTAAGATGCAATCCTATAATGCCAGGGAGTTAAATCCTTTAAAAGGCCGTGATTAAAAATTCTATTCTCTTCCATGGTTCATCATTTGGGTAAGTAAAAGAGAAAAAGAGGTGTCTCTGTGAGAATGAGGCAAATATGTAGTCTAAAAAGCTTAAGCAGAACAAGAATAACGTGAAATATGTGATGATTCACCAAAGAAAGGTCATTTTCTTTTTTAGTAGAAATGCTTCCATAAAAAGTCGGTTATACGGCCTGATCATACTTCCTGCTATGATCTGTGTCCACTTTCTACTAATGAAGTGAGTATGTTCATTTGACTTCTATGTCTTTACAATCACTCTTTATCTTAATGAGAATGAAATTAATGTAAAAACAGTGCTTAGGACGCAGATGTAAACCTCATGGGGAGGTTCTGAATCAATGAGGAGGGAAGACTCTGGAATTAAGTAGAAAAGGGAAAAAGAATGGGAACAGAGAGGATGCATGGAAGACTCAATTTCAAAAATGTACTGAACTAATCATCTTCAAAATATCAAAAGTCTAACATGTTAGACAAGCAAACCTGCATGCCTCTCACTTCAGGAAAACCTCCTTGCAAACAAACAAACAAACAAACAAACAAACAAAAACATGGGCACCCCTAGGGATTAGAAACATGAACCAGACACATAACTTTGGAAACAGTCTGATAAAAGACCAGGGACACATAACTGGCAAGAAATGCCTTGCTATCTAAGCTGGGAAATGGTTTACAAAACAGGGCTATTTTAATTATGTTAGAGATGGGAAAACCATTTCCACAGCTATATGGGAATTTGTTATACTTGAGTTGCCAATTAGAGACACATGATAGGGACTGGCAGGTGGTGTGGTGGTTAAGGGTGCTGGACTCCCACATGGCTGACCATGGTTTGAGTCCCAGACCTGGTGGCTTGCTTTTTTACTTTCTCTCTCTCCCCGTCTCACTTCTGGTAAGTAAGTAAGTAATAAAGAAAGAAAGAAGGAAGGAAAGGAGGAAGGAGGGTGGGAGGTAAAAAAAGAGAAAAGGAGGAAGGAGGGAAAGAAGGAAAGAAAGAAAGAAAGAAAGAAAGAAAGAAAGAAAGAAAGAAAGAAAGAAAAAGAAAAATAATTCTTTTTAACCCCCCTCCCCCCAAAAAAAGAGAGACAAATGTTGAAGTCCGATGTCAAGTACAGACACTGGACTGGGCTTGCCTGTTCTGCAGCATGTTTTTATCAGGAATGTGAGTGAACGAGTTCCTCTGTTCTGATTGCTCTTTGGAGCTTCAAGCAATCCTGTTCATCGGTCACTTCTCCTAGAAACAGTAACTATGGGCTTCTCCTCCCATCTTTAGTCTTGTGCCAGTACCTCCCCCTGGTGGAGGATCCAGAAGCCCAGCAAGCCAGAGGATGGCAGTGGAAGGACATGCCAGTGGAGGACAGGGTGGGTAGGGAGCTAAGTGAAAACTTTCCAGAAAATCCCTAGATGATGGGTGGGCAGATGGAAGAAGAGTGGCATAGCAGCAAGGTCAGGGAATCACTTGGGGATTTGATTTCCTTCTCTGTAAACTGAATAATAAAAATCCTTCTCCTTGGGGTCCAGCAGGTGGCATTGTGGTTAAGGCGCTGGACACTCTCATATGAATGACTATGGTTCAAGTCCCAGATCTGGTGGCGTGCGCTCTCACTTTTTCTGTGTGTGTGTGTGTGTGTGTGTGTGTGTGTGTGGTCAAATTAAAA